AATATGGACCGAGGACCGCAAGGACCGGTCCTATTAACCGGTCTAAGACCGGTCTTACCAGGACCGATCCATCCCTAGTACCATAACTGCCATTCTCTTTCTTTTCCCTTGAATATTCTGGGAACTTGTAACAGTACCAGAAGTAACTTTGTCTTCATTTGAATTCCCCACATCAAGATTTTCACCGGGATCTATGTCTGGATCTCTAAAGTTTTCATTAAAATTTTCACCGGAACTTCCCCCATCAAGATTTCCACTGAGATCTGTGTTTGGATCACCAAAGTTCTCATCAAATTGTTCACCCAAGTTATAGGAACTTCCCTTATCAAGGTTTTCATTGGGGTCCATGTTTGAATTTCCAAAGCTTCCTCAAAATTTTTACCGAAGTTCTCAGATCCATTATCATAATGAAACTTACTGGTAAAAACAGCAAGTTCGGCCTTCGTGACTCTTAATTTTTTATTAATATCAGCCAGAGCCGAAATTATCTGCTCTTTTTCATTCTCATAGTCCAGAATATTCCGTTTCTACAAAATAACACATCAGTTAGTAATACAATTCGATTTCTTTAACATAACGTTGTCGTTCGAAATTTACCTGTTGCATTAGCAGTGCATTAAATTTTTTATTTAGTGATAAAGAAAGACACATAGTTGGTTCCTCCTTCAGAACCATCAGTCCTTTACCAACGACAAATTTAGGACGCCTGAATAGAGTACATGGAGTGGCTACCACGCAGGTCATATTCAGTAATTCTCCTGAGACAGAACGGATCCACCTAGGAGTTACCCTTCCTATGTAAAATAAAAAATACGCACCTTTTCATTTACAGAAGGTTCCAACTTCTCCGCTTCCATTATGAAGTTGAGTGCCCAAAAGTTATCAAGATCATACCAAGAAGTAGTTAAAGTTAAAGCTGACATCGACGAAGCAACAACTACTTCTCGGCAACAGTGAAGAAAACCACGAAATGACTTGTTATAGCGTTGATTCAGGTATGCAACTAGGAAAATCAGGTTCCGGGAATTTTTTAGCAAAATTGAGATTTTTATTGCATTTTAGTTTTTGATGTTATTAGATTAAAATGTATTAAGCTCTTAATTTTAGTCAAAAATTTCTCGGAACCTGATTTTCCTAGAAACACTCCCATATAATTTTGACAAACGCGTAAAACGCGTGCATATTAGTCTGGGTGACACAAAATGTCCCTTGTCATTGTAGCATTCCCGATAGGGTGTCCAGAGGACCCCGGACAATTATATATCTGGTATGTATGAAATGAGATGTAAAAAACGGGTTTTTTAAAAAAATGTGGGGGGTAAAATGGGGTAACTATAAAAATAGTAGTAGGATTTTTATGGTTAAATTTTTGAGATTTTTAAAGTGGTATACTAAAAATTGGGGTAAATTATCATGTTGATGGTTATTATATATAGTAAATCATTTTAACTGTAATTATCCTAAATTTACAATTTATACAATGTATAAAAAAAATTCGATTGTTGTTATATTTATTATAATAAAACGAAAAAAAAATTTAAAAATTTGATTGCTTAACGCGAAAGTGTGTAAAATTTATTTACATAAAAAAATTTATTTTATTAATAAAATGAAACATATAAAGGAAACACTTTCAAAACATCCAAAAGTTAGAAAAATTATTGATCCAAAGACTGTAATATGTATATGTGCTAAAAAAATTCGTCTTGATAGAAATTATGATCCAGATCTTCTTGACCATTATGTTAAAAAAAATATATATAAAAGTAATGATGGAAACTCTAAAATTACGCAATTTTTTTCAACTGAAAATTCAGAAACTTCAAAAAAAAGAAAACTTTGTGTTGGGTTAAATGATGAAAAAGTCAAATTATATTTACATCGTATAGGTTTTATAATCACATTTGGTGATGCACCACCTTTAGAAGTTATAGCACAAAAATTATTTGGTGATAAAATCAATCATCATTTTATTGGAAAGATTTAAACAAAAAAGAAAATGATCAACTTTTAGATACTTTATGATTACGAGCAAAGTGGATTAATGATAGTACAACTTTTTGTGTTAGAAGTACTAAATGTTCAACATATATTGATGAAATTAATGAAATTTGCTAGCAATATCTTGATTTGAAAAAATTAAAGGTTTTTCTAGTAATAAATTTTTTTTATAAATTATATTTTATAATATGCAATTATTTATAAGTGATAAATTATTTATTATTAAATAGAATGCGATTGATAAACCAATTCCTAAAGGAAAAAACCAAAAATATACACTTTTAATTTTTTATAAGAATTTTTTATTTTATCAATATTGTAAAAATACAAATATCATGGAATTATTAGAATACTTCAATGATCCTAAAGATTGCATTCCCAAATTTTAGAATCAGTTAGCAAGAATGTGACAAGCTGGCGCATTTAAGAGCAAACAAATTTTTTCTGAATTGTGTGAAATTTTTGTGGAAATAATAAATTGTATTAATAAAGGAAAAGAGCTTCAAAATATTAAATATTCTGAACAATTTCCAATTTTTTAATTATTTTAGCAAGCAGTAGTTCATAAACATATACAATTTTTCAAAAAAATTTTGCAAGAAGAACAATTCGAAATATTCAGTAAATATATATTCATAGTGTATATGCTACATAATATATACATATATTTAAATTTATTTTATTTTTAATTTAATGTATAACATGCTCAATCAGATTTAGTACTTGATGATCCATCAATATGCTTTGAAAATATGGCTAAATTTAGAAATTTTTTAAATAGCATTAATTATAATAGATCAATCATTACAGCAACAGATAATACAAAATTTGAAGAAAAATTATGCTATTCTGCAAGTTTAAGCGCAATTCTTGGGTCTACATTACCATTACAAGAAACTTTAATATCTTCTTATGATGAAATTGATACTATTATAAAAAAGATTCAAAATAATAATGCAATAGCTAAATATGTTTATATATACATTTTACAAGTATCAGTTCCAAAAGTATCACCATTTGTACTTGAAATTATTCCAAATAATAGCGAAAATGTATTTAATATATATGAAATCCATAATCAAGTTTAAAACTTGCTGCACATTTTAAGATTCATATATTATCAATTGGAGCTGATAGCGCATCAATAGAAATTAAAGCATAAAAGAATATTATATAAACTAATACTGAATTTATTGATGAATTATATGATATATATAATTAATTTATTTTTGATATAAATCTTATTGTCATTATTATTAATAATTTTTTTATTTAGATATCAAATTATGTTGTCCTATAATTCCAAATATTGGTCCTATTATTTGTATTTCAGATCTGAAGCATGCGAAAAAAATGGACAAAATAGCATTTTTAATAATGCTCAAATGCTAACTTTCGAAAATAGTTTCTTGGATTTTGATCATATATTAGAATTGTCTAAATTGCTAAATTTTGCTTTGTATCATACGGATATTTTAAATATTGATAAACAGGATAACGGAGTTGTATATCAGCTTTTTTTTCATGAATTTTTATATGAAGTATCTCAAGCTTTAAATTCTAATTCTAATAACAAAAGACTGCTGATTTATTTGTTTATTATCGGTAAATTAAATTTTAATTTTTTTATTTTTAATTAATATAAAATTAATCAATTAATATATTATATATTTTATTATTTTAAAAGGAGAATTAATTGATTTATATCTTAATCAGGATATTTCTAATCATAAAAGAATTAAAATGGTTATAATAGGTAGTTTTTTCTAAAGATATGGAAGTAATTTATTCAAAATGCAACAAATAAATATAAAGAAATTTTTTCAAATGAGCGTAACTTTTTAGCACATCAAACTTATAAAATATTATCTTTTCTTGCTGATTTAATGGTATTTATGAACTTCAATTTTTTTAATTAATTTTATTAAATTATAAATAATAATAAGTTTTATTTATTACAGATTCTACTTATCATATCACATCAGGAATATTATAATTTAATGTCATTATTACCTTGGATGCATGGTAGTAAAGCATGTAAGCATTTTTTTGAAATAGCATGACAATATTTACCAGATTTTACATATGCAGATTTAATATATTTAATCCCTAAAATTTGCTATGTTACAAATGCCTATTATAGTTCAACAATTGTTCATCTGAATTCTAAATATAAAACATCTTAAATTGATTAGTTTATTAATAATTCTTAGTATTTTATCATAATTAATCTCTAATTTTATTTATAAAAAATTTTAATAGGTTATATTTGTGATTATTTTAAAGGAAATGTCAATGATTTAAATTTAAATTTAAATTTAAAAATTTGGTCTACAGATGATAAAATTAGAGTTCTTATTAATGATGTATATAAGGAAGTAAATGCTTTAGCAAAATGTGTTTCTATGGTGGTCATATTACAATTTGAATTATTATTATCATCTCTAACTGATCTTGTAATAAAGGAAATAATACCAATTAAGGAAAATTTAACAAAAGAATTTCAAAATGGAGAGAAAGTTTTAACAGAAATTGCTGAAATAATAGGAAATATTACAGATTTAAATTTGCGAAATAATACAGATGAAGATTTGATAGATGCTCGTGAACAAATTACAAATTTATCTAATAATACATATTTACAATAAAATTATAATGCTAATATTAGTATATTAGACAATAATAATGATATAATTTTTAATTTACTATATCAATGCTGAAGATATCATAATGCTTATACTTCAAAAAGAATAGTCTGATTACAATTTCAAAAAAGAGATTATAATTCATCGGTAGAAATTAATCCATCTATTGCTAGCAAAATAGTTGCATAAACTACTAATAATAATAACAATTTAAGATTACCTAAGGCACGATTAGAATGATAGAATATTAGAAAAAGATTTGAAAATGTTAATGAAATATTAAAAAATTCACAAGGATTGCAATTACCAAATAACAGTAAGTATAACTAATTAATTGACTTTAATGATTTTTAGCTAATAATTAATTAAATATTTTATTTTTATAGTTTTAAATTATATTCCATCAATTAGTACGGCAAATATTTCTACAATTTATTCAGTATAAAAGGGAGGATTTGTGTTAGCATTAATTAATAAGGAAATATGTCTCGTACAAATACTTGCAATTTATTATCGTACATCAACTAAAAACAACTATTTATATACTGAAGAACCTATAAATGATATTAATCTAATTATATTTGTATCTACAGTCAACTCTTGTTATAACGAACTCTATGTCTTAGATCTCAACTTCACTATAAGGCTATAGTGAAGATTTTAAGAGATTTGATTGGCCAATTCGCTATAACAAGAGTATTTTATTATATTTGTTCAAAAAATTCATTATATCAAGAGTTCGCTATATCAAGAGTTGACTGTACCAAAGTATTCAGAAATTTACGGCATAACTTGTTTTATTTGAAATGTAATAAAGGATATGATTACTTTTGTTATTTATCATCTAAATAAATACTTTATTATTCGGGATATTAAATAGAGAAATCTCATATAAATATGTATATATTATAATCTAATGCATACCAAATTTATCAAACTCTTTCTAATGATAGTATTTTAACTTGTATTTTACATTTTCTTAATCAAAAATAAAAAAATAAATAAAATAATTTCTACTAATCTGGTATGTAGGAATTGGTAATCATACTTAGCAAATCCTAGTTATAATCCATCTAAAAATACATTTAGTTAAATCCTGTAAACTCTCGATCTAATCGACTGATTTTTTTGAACTGTTGATATTTATTTCATTGTTCTTCATCTACAATTTCATCAATTAAGTTATTTGATATATTATTATAGATTTTCTTATTTTTCAATTTTAAATATGTGATCTTTCTCAAAAATTAATTATATCTATTATTTTATTATGTATTTTTATACAAGATTTAAGTATAATTTCACTTTTAATGTTTTGTTTACATTTTTATCTTTTTTTTTCTTTTATTTTTTCTTGCTGTTAATACTTATTTTCTTTTCCTTCCTGTGTTTAGCTGTTTCTTCCTTACAATTTGCAAATGAAGATGATATTAATAGCAAGCATATCTTTGAATAGTTTATGTTTATCAGTTGTTGAATTGTTAAAAAGAACCATAAGTTTAGTAAAGTTAAGCAAGAACATGTACTTGAGGAGTTCATAAGCAAACCTGCATAATTAATCATGATAGGTAACACAATCTCTTTGACAAAACATTTACACAATTATTTTAGTAGGGTTTGCAATCCTTTACATATGAAGTTGATTCCTAATCTGATATTACTGATGAGTTCATAAGTTAGAAATCAGAAGTTAAGGAGTTATTTTTGCTGTTTAAGGTCTTCTTTTTACTTAACACTAGAAACCCAAGCATAGAGGAACCTTTTTTGGTAGTAGTGATGATGTAGTAGTGGTAGTAGTGATGTTATTGGCATTTTGGAAAATCAACTTTAAAAGAATGGAAGATATATTGTAAAGGTAATTACCCAGATTTTTTTTTGATATTTATAGAAATAAAATTCTTAAATAAACATAAATATCTTTTTTTATTTATTTTATTTATTTATTTTTTTTTGTTTTGAGCTCGATTTTAAGTCAAATCATTAAAAATAGTTCAATTATTGTTAATAATTAAAGATGGATTGTATGAATTTTAAGTATGACTTTCAAAAAAAAGTGGTAATGTATCAATGAATTAAGATATATGAGGATGTTTGTTTTGATGATTTTTTTCACTTTATCAAATTTTAACAAAAAAAAGTTTATATATAAAAAGTTTATCATGTGATTATAAAGTGTATTATCGTTATCATTTCCTTTCTTACAACTCATTAGTTTTATGCAGCTTCCCAAGCAATACATTGTGCTGAAATTTTCCAACAAATGTTTTTGATGGGCTAAACTTCACTTCAAAAATCTGCTTCCCACCAGTCATGTGATAAATATAGAATCGATATATTTCCAAAAAAATCTATTTTTGTTTCTTTCTCAACAGGTAAACCTTTCCAATCTTTAGAATTGTAACTTATTTTTACATATATAATATGCATTTTGACGGAGTTTAGATGATTTTGAAATGGAATGTGATTGTCGTATGATTAGGTCGGGCAAAGAAAAATTTTAAATTTTTAGATAAAATTTTAAAATGGACACGGTCACCCAGTTTTTTTTTCTTGTTCATGATAAATTTATGTAAATCTTTCTTTCGTCGCTTTCTTTTGAACAAATTCTATGCCGATTTTATTATGTAAGGTCACATGATAAAAATTTTACTATAAACAAAAAATCCTGAATTTTCGTAAATTGACATGGGCCGGGTCACAGAATCTGAAAATTTACTTTACACGCATAATATTTATATATAAACTTTTTTTATTAATAAAAAATAATCATTAATAAACTCCGGGTCTCCGTAAAAATCGAAGTTGCATGACCTAATACAAGCTATTTTATTGGTTGTCAATGTAACTTGGATGATATAAACGTTAGGAGGAGACTTTATAGCAGTGATTTTTCCTTGCTTTAGCCAGCAACGCAAGGTGTATACGAGATTCTAAGTTTCTTAGCAGATAAATACATAAAAGTAAAGAAAAGGAAGGAGTGATTAGTTTACAGTTTACGATTTTGTATCTTTTTTATAGGCCTTTTCAAATAGACTTTTTTTGACTTTTTCTCTTATTGTTTGTAACAATAAAATGTTATACCGTTCGATTAGACTCTACATTGATGAATTGATAAGCATTACTAATTAATAAAGCATATGTTACGATCGTTAATTATTAAGTACTTTACAGAAACTTTGTTCCTTACTATTCAGTAACTGCATAGTACCTATTAGGCTGTGATTAAGCTACTACTAAGTAAAGTAATAACTATATATTTACAATATAGTCACTTTGCAGTTACTGCGTATTAAGAAAACCAAGTTTCTGTAAAGTAAAAATGTATTTTCGGTATCCCGGAATATTTTTTAAATAATTTAAATAAATAAAATTAATTTTATTACGCCGAAATCACCTTCCTTAATAAATGATCTTGCATAGACAATAAAAATAATTTTTTCTACGAGATACTGTATTAAAGGAATTTCAATAATTAGATTGGACACAATATTCGTATATTGCGAGGCGAATTCTCAAATTATATATCTTTTTTGATAAGCCTTAATTAGGTTAAAACTTTGTCTTTTTAGCATGGAGTCAAGTTCAAAACATTTAGTAGGTCCGAGATTTACTGCGCCAACGAGATGTCACCAACAAAAGTAGCATTTTGAGATTTATCGACGTTTCTCATTTTGTAATACTACCTGAATAATGACATACTAATAACTTGCTAAATAACTTAATAATTTATAAATTAAAATACATTTATAAATAAAAGAAACTGTCGTGGTGAACTTAACAAAGCCTTTTTTTTTTTTGCTTTGTGTATCTTTTCAGCTGCGGACCCAAACGAATATCAGAATGTATAATATATTTTTTTTAATATAACCATATTACTTTGTTATTTTTTTTTTTTTTTTGTTACAAAAGATATGAAGATAATGATACGTGAACCCTTTGATCATATTATTCCTTTACCAACAAAAATTACTTCTTGATACTAAGATAAATTTTAGGCAATTCACACTATAAACTAAATTATTTTTATTTTATCTAATTATTAGCAATATTCATTTAATACATATTTAACATTTATCACTTTTTCGATTATTGCAATTTGAAATTGCTTGCTTGGCATTCTAAATCATGTTATAAAACCATTTTAATAAATTAATATCGTTTCTCATGTATGACATGTTTCGCACTATTTTGGCATTTTCGTTCCTAAAATTTGAATTAAGTTGTGATACAAAAAATTTAAAAGATTTTTTTTTTTTACCTTTTCATTTGCAAGATGTAACAAATGTACAGTACTACATGACGATTCAATGATAATGCACATTTATGCTTATTTTGATTACTAAACGTGGTAAAGGGTAGTACGGAAAATATAGGGTTTTTTTTTTATTTAAAAACTGATTTATCGAACATCTAATGTAACCAACCGTAAAGGATTTTTTTTTTTTTTTTTAAAAAAAAAAATTAATAAAAAATTAAAAATATCATTCCTTCTAAAAAAAAAATTCTTCATAATGTCCTCACATCAAAAGATTGATGAAAGTGATAAAAGTGAAATCCTTAATCCTCAGGAATTTAAAACTGCGGTTACGTATGATCAAGTCGAACCATCGAATGTTACTCATTCAAAATCTGCCCTTCAATTGGATGATCAATCACATCTAAATGGTCAAACAAATTCTACCGCCAAATTACAATCTTGGAAGACTACTTTGGAAAAGGCTATAAATGCCATCGTATCTATTAAGGCAAACTGCGTGAGAGATTTTGATACTCAATATTCTGGTTAGTCTCACTTTATTACTAACCAAAAGATTCATAAGACTAATTCCCAATGATTTAGACTAAAAAAAAAAAAAAACCAAACACATCCGATCATTTGATTTTTAGGTGAATATTGTGGCACGGGATTTGTGGTTGATAAGGAGAGAGGAATCATTTTATCTAATCGTCATATAGTGTCGCCAGCTCCTATTGTGGCTCAGGCCACCTTTATAAACTATGAAGAAGTAGAATTGAAATCAATCTATCGAGACCCGATTCATGATTTTGGATTTTTAAAATTTGATCCATCAAAGATTAAGTTTATGGATCTAGTTCAGATCCCTCTTGAACCAGAAAGAGCAAAGGTCGGAATAGAAATTAGAGTTGCTGGAAATGATTCCGGTGAAAAGTTGTCGATTTTGGCCGGCACCTTAGCAAGGCTCGATCGGAGGCAAGTTTTTTTTCCTAGAAACCATAAAAATGATTTTCATTACGATCATTAATTATCCGATCGTCCTTACGTAATCAGAGCTCCCGAATATGGGATCGGTTACTATAATGACTTTAATACCTTTTATTTTCAAGCGGCCTCCGGTACGAGCGGTGGATCATCGGGCAGTCCGGTGCTCGATATCGAGGGTAATGCTGTCGCCCTTAATGCCGGTTGTAAAGTCAAAGCATCATCTAGTTTTTATCTTCCTTTGGATAGAGCAAAACGAGCCCTTAAATATATTCAAGAAGGAAAGCATGTTCCTCGCGGAACTCTTCAGACAGAATTTGAATACACATCTTATGACGAACTTCGACGGTTGGGTCTTGGATCAAGTATTGAAAAAGAAGTTCGTGAGAAATTTCCAGATGAGACTGGGTTATTGGTGGTTCGTAAGGTTTTACCCAAAGGACCAGCTGATGGTTTACTAATACCTGGCGATATCATTATTCGCGCAAATAAAGATATGATCGCAAACTTCATTCATTTGTTTTCCATAATTGACGATTCAATCGGAGAGGATATAGAGTTGACAATATGTCGTGGAAAGGATCAAATGGATATCAAATTAAAAATTCAGGATCTTCATTCCATAACGCCAAATCGGTTCGTTGAAGTAGGTGGTGGAATAGTTCATGAGCTTTCATATCAACTCGCTTATTCTTATTCACAACCCGTTGAAGGTCCATATATAGCCTCAAGTGGTTTTATGTTTGGTAATGCATCAGCATGGAGTTATAATGTGATCGATAGTGTTAATAATATCCCTACACCGAATTTGGACGCATTTATTGAGATCATGAAAGATTTACCGGACGGTGCTAGGGTATCGTTAAGATTTCATGAAATATCCAACATACATAAGGAGAAGGTGGCGATCATGTATGTGGATCGATATTGGAACAAATTTAGGATTGGCGTTCGTGATGGTTCGTATGAGCTCTTAACAATTTTTTATGCGTTTTTTTTTTTTCTCTTTTTGACAATTTTTTAACCGACGAAATAACTAAAGACAATACTGGGTTATGGAATTATGAGGAGATCCCCCCTCCTAAAACCATTTATTCATATAAGCCCGATACGGCGCGAGTTCCGATTTTAAACGAATCATTACATCCTTCCGGAAAAGTTTGGCCATCATTTGTTAAAATTGAATGTTACTTACCGTACCTTATTGATGGCATAACCTACTCGCGGGTAAATAATATAATAATAATAATAATAATAATAAATTACATACGCATGGCATACGCACATTATTTTTTTCCTTTATTGATAAAACGGGAGACCATCTTAAATGTCGTATATATAATATTTATTTTATTTTTTTTTTTTAAAAAAAAAAAAAAAAAAAAAAAAAAAAAAAATTGTCATTAAATAGCCTTTTGGCGTAGGGGTGGTGATGTCCACGGAACCACCTTTAATCGTGTGTGATCGAGATGCAATACCAATAAGCATTGGTAATATTTTTATTACTTTTGCCAATAGTATTATCATACCCGGGAAATTGCTTTATCTTCATCCAATGTATAATTATGCTTTTATCACTTACGATAAAACCTTATTGGAAGATACACTTGTTAAAGCGATCGAGATAAGTGATAAAGATTTGGAACAAGGGGATCCCGTTTATTTGGTAGGATTTTGTGAGGATTATTTACCCGAGGTAAAAAAAACTATTGTGTCAAAAATCATAAATGTTAGAGTAACGGAACGTAATCCTCCGAGGTGGAGAGCCATCAACGTTGAGGGAATTACGGTGGATGGTCCCATTACACAAGGTATTTGTAAGGAAATGACCATGTCAACGACAAACGTATGAGAAAAACTAATGTGCTTTTTTTTTATTTATCCTCTTAGGTGGTGTGTTGTGTGATGACGACGGAAAAGTACAAGGGCTATGGCTAACTTATTCTGCGCAGGAAAATAACTTTATATGTGGGCTTCAAATATCTTTGGTAAAACCAACTTTAGAATTGCTTAAACGTGGGGAGCTTCCAAAGTTACGTGGTCTCAATGTCGAATTTTGTACGATGAAAATAGTCAAGGCAAAATTTCTTGGGTTATCGGGTGAATGGATTAGAAAATTTGAATCCATACCGAATTCAAAAAATAGCTGCTTGTATATTTTAAATATACTTGATACAACAAGTCCCGCGGGGGAATTATTGAAAGTAGGTGATATCATTTTGACGATAAATGGCAATATTGTAACGAGAATGAGAGATTTACCCGCGGCTTTTCATTATTCTGAGGAAGTTGATATGGCAAGTATTTTTTTTTTTTTTTTTAAAAAAAAAAAAATTTTACAATATATATCTTTCTCTTGGTATTAAAAAATGTAAATTTTCACATTTTAGTTAATATTTCGTGATGGTAAAGAAATTAATGTTAAAGTAGGAACGACATCATATGGAAAAGAGACAACACGGATCATAGGATGGTCGGGTGCACTCATTCAAGCACCATATAAAGCGGCATTAGAACAAGTTAGAAAGGTACCAACGGGCGTATATGTATCAGGTAAAATGTATGGATCCCCGGCGGATGCCTCATTAAGATCAGGAGTCTGGATCGTTGAAATCCAAGGAAGGAAAGTGAGCGATTTGGATTCATTTTTAAAAGCTATAGACGCGTATGAACAAGAAATGAAAGAAAAAGCTGATGAGAATGATGGATATGTGCGAATTAAAACTATTGATCGAACTAACGTTACAAATGTTATAACGATGAAATTAGATCCGCATTATTGGAGTACTTGGCAACTAGTCGAAGATGAAGAATCAACCAAAGGATGGAAATATGTTGAAGATTAACGTATTAAAGCTTTAACAGGCCTTTCTATTTTCTTTCTTTTTTTTCTGTGATTATTTCTTTTATTTGTATATAATAAACTACATGTCATTAACATTCGACGTATTTTTTTCTATTGAAATCCAAATCTTCTTTTGTTAAAATGTCTTTTATATAAATCATTCCAAGGAAGAATCATCCAATTATTGGCGTTAAGAAATAAGGTCGTTTCATTAATAAAAATTTTCGAAATTCATGAAAGTATCAAGATTCTGAACTTGGACTCGAAATTTTTTTTCTTTTTGCGCCTTTTTTTTTATTCGTCAAAAATTATCTATCGTACACTCTACCTTGCCAGTTCTTAGTTTCTTCCCAAAAGAAAAAAAAAAAATTAAGCATTTATTTAAAAAAAAACATTTATTTAAGAAATGTCCTGATTGTAATACATATATAAGTACAGAAAAAATGAAACAAAGGCTATTTTAAAATTTATACTACGGATCTAAAATTATGTTTTATGCTGCATCATAATTATTCCTTCTTTTGGTTTTCTTTTTTGACCCCGATTTACCACCCATAGGTGTGTCATTATTAGCTTGACTTCTCGATTGTTTTCTCTGCGCTTGTTTTCTCAACTCTTGTTTTTTCAACTAAAAAATATTATTCATAATAATAATTTAATAACCAAAGTTATATAAATTAACACATTTAAGTAAACATTCTTACCTCGATCCTTTTCTTTGCAAATTCATAAGCAGCAGATGTGTGACACACCATTAAATTTTGTGGGAATAATTCTTCGACAAGTTCCTCCGAGATTGTTGACGGCCAGAAATTTAATGTATCATCTTGTAAATAAAGATATAATGGATCCGTTTCTTTATGATTTTCTGTAGTTAAAAATCGTAACATGTATCGTTTTAAAGCTACTGCAAACGCTTCTGCTGGTATCAAATCTTTTCCTACGGTTTGCTGTTCAAAATCTACAGTTCGAAGTATGTCGTATTCCATATCATTTGAAAGTGGTGTTTTATATTTTTCGTGAACATATTTAATTTTAAGATTGGCAACTTGTTCTTCAACGAGCTCATATAAAGCTACCAAATGTTTAAGTCGTAAATCGATATTTAAAACTTCGGAGAACCCTGCATGTTCGACTAATGATGATAATCTAATCCATTGTTTGACATAATCTTTAATGGATCTTTCCCCATCTCCAACTGCTGTACGTTTAACAAAACACAGAAGAATTTCCAATGATGATAAGGTTTCTGACGCGTTTTCCAAAGTTAATTCTGAACCAGGCGAATACATTGAAGCAGGATTTCCAGCACTTAACAAATTCATTTTTTCAATTGGAATTGGTTCTTGAGGTATTAAATCCTTAATATCGCTGAGGATTCTCATACATCCTTGGAACAATTCCATCTGGTATGGGAAAGTTTCCAAGTATAGTTGAGATTCTGGTTTTGCCGTTTCTATATAAACTTTGTCAAAAACTAAAATATTTGCTAATTCCGCCTCAATTTTTGCTAAATCATAAACGATCCCTCGTCCTTTGGCAACTTCGAAATTTCTTTGACTATACGCAAGAATTTCGTCATCCCAAGTAAATTTTATGATATTCCCGGACCGTGCACGATCAATACGCATAGATTGAATGAAATATCTATTAGGAGTATCTGGTTTGATCAATTCAACTTTTGTTTGTTCGTCAAATTCCGGTTCATCTAAAAACTTGAGAGATTTACAAGTCCCAGGTGGAACTGCCATGACTTCTCGTAGGAAAGTGTTTTGCAAATTAACTAAATAATGTAAAATCGCACATAAGAAAATCCCCTCATCTTTAGCTTCCATTAAACCTAAAACGATCCGAAGTCCGGCATCCATGTCTGGTATATTTGGTAGTTCATGACACTGAAACCGTGTTACATTATGCTTAACTGTATTCCAACCAAGTTTAAAGTCTTCAAATGCCATATTGAACATTTCAGAATTTTCACCACCACTATCAATGAAATCCCTAAAGGTCATTTCTCTCGCATTTTGTCTTGTCAAGTAATATCCAAGTTTGGAATTCAAAAGTTGAACAAATTTTACAATGGGTAAAAGATGTTTGAGAAATTCTAATGGTTTAGCGTGTTTGAAAAATACTGAAAGGAAAGGATAATTGTTCGTGTTTCTTTCCACATCACTAATGTAATAAGCGCGGAAACTATCAAAATTAATTGTTCCAATCATTCTCCATAAACTTGGTAAATTTGTATTTCGATACTGTTTATCCATCACCAAGGTCTGATCAATTTCACTCTCAATAGTATTTCCATTGTTTTGATTTTTAGCTGCAGCGTCTATTTTTTTACGATAATTGGTTGCTGTATCAGTTATATCCCTAATTTGTGGTTCGATACAATTTTTCTCAAACTCCCGTTCCCAATTTTCGCGTTCAGCGGCAGTTTTTATTTGTTGATTCGGTAGTGGAGGTTTTTCCATCATTAACGTAATTAACGAGTGGAACATCAATGCCAAATTCTGTTAAATTATGAAAAAAGTAAAATTTAATACTTAAATAAAAATCAATAAATAATAAGACACAATATACCTCATCACCACAATCAAGAAGTTTCTTGAGAACCGCCCAATCATTTTGAATATGTTCCATACAATACTTTTCAGCATCTTTAGCTACTTCATCATTTTTACGAAGGAAAGCAAGTGCAGGTTGAGGGGCAGATGCACCAATAAGTGCATGAACGATTAAATGTAAAATACGATATGAAATAGCTCTCAAAGCTCTGACGAAATGATTCATAGTTGTATCAACAAGTTCTCCGATATATCCTGCTTGATCATTTGTTGCTATTTGCCTAACTTTAGCACCAAGTTTAGTATTTCCTTCTAGAATTTTATGATCACCGCCACCAATTTTCTGTTTACAATTCAGACATATACTAGACTCCATAGGGAGTCCACAATTATTGATAACATACTTCATACCACATTTGCAGGCATAACTTGTGACTCCTTCGCCAGCAATTGCACTCAACACCATTGATTCTATATCAGGAGAACATGTTAAAATAAACAGATTTTGACAATCTTGTAATCGGTGCAAATACATTGCCAATTGGGATGAATTTGATTCAACTGAAGCGTGATATGCGATTATATGTGCAATAACAGACTTTATAAGCAAATCTGTATTACTGATATTTGAATTGTTAATTTGAAGTAAAGGATAATCATTTGAATATAATTTCGTTGCAATTTTTTTATATAATTCCGGGAGATTATTCATTCCAGCGAGTTCATTGATCAAGAACTCGGCCGATTGCTTTTCTGGATGTTGCCATTCTCTTGAAGCCCTTATAGCATGAAGACGTACAAAGAAAAGCCCCATTAAAGATATCCTTGACGTTAAAGTATCCTTTTGTTTGATCTTTTGAATGAATATTTGTATAGGTGATTGGTGGTTTATATTATATAAGGTCGTAAAAACTTTGTCAGCTTCGTCATATTCGGGCAAAGTAAAATATGGGTTGAAAGGTAATCGATTTTCTTTAACATTTTCCCAATTTAAAGTTCCAATCCAAGGTAAAATTCTTTTCTGAGCCTCACAAAATTTTCTTACATCATCATTTGAAAAATCTCTTTGACGTAAATCTCTTAAAAAGTAAATTTGGAGAGAACGAATCAAAGGATGAGCATAATTCATACTTTCATTGACTTGATTAATTAATTCTGCACTATCAAATTCTCCGTCTTCTTCCATTTTATTATACGCAATAGGAAGATTTTTATCTTCTTGAAGGAAACTATTCCAGAATTGACGAACAAATTCCTTAAGGAAAGCGATTGCAGTTATTTTTTGCAATGGTGGTGCTCCCGGATTGGATAACGCACCAAGGGCATCTCCAAAGGATTCTGAAAGTTCTTCCAATTCGCAATCCATAAAGAATGTTTGTTCGATAACATCACAACATAATGTTACCATATTCGTATCCAAGTCTTTGAAACATTCATTAATAGCATTTAACCGTGCAGATTGTCCTAAAGCTCCCTCTGCATCTGTAATTATTGTAAAGAATATATTCTCGTTTTCGTTATTCTCACTAAGGAATATCCTTTCAATGATCGCACCCATTAACGGGAAGGGTTCACTTGAAAATAATTTTTTATAAAGACCGAGTCGAACACCGGATTCAATAGGAATTAATGCTAGACATCTCATGATAACTGATCTCTTTGGTATCAAATTCTTTTCATTTTGCTCTAATAAATCTAATTTATCAAGTATGGCGCAGACAAATTCCTCAGAAAGAACCTCTTGATCGTTCGAATTTAATCCGAATCGAACAATTTCTTTGATACTATTTAAAGGAATTTTAGTTGTGACCAAATCATTTACGATACGTAATAATTGTAAATCTGGTAAGGTCTTTGCTCGCGTTATCTTGTTACAAAGGAATAAGATTTTGGATACATCATGTTGCCATCTATTAATCAAAAAAGCATTTACTTCGTCTCCTAAATTCTCACAAATGTTCTGAAGCATCATTTTGGTTATTTCTTTAACAATATACATCTCGATTTTTTCCTCAATAATAATGTTGTCTTGGTCTTCAATGTTTTCAACAATTTCTGGGGCCATTTGAACTAGTTGCAATTGCGCTATTACTTCACTAGATTTTTTCCACCAAAAGGTGTGAAGAAGAATTGGCTGATGCACTTTATCAGCACCAATTAGCCTTTTCAAGATTAATGCTAAAATTTTTGTATTCATATTTCCACTCTCACTTGACGCAATTACAGTAACGAAATCATTAAAATATAGTTCAGAAAACCGTTCAAGAGGAGAATCTTCCAATTGGGAAACCGATGTAAGAATAATATTTTTAAAACTTTTCAAATGTTTCTCAATTTCATAATCTTCAAGTTCATTAGTTGTGACATCAATTTTATCTTCATCCTGCTGTAAGACTGCTAATTCTTCTTCATAATGTCTCTTGAAATTATCAATTTGTTTCATAAAATAGAATGAGAAAGGAAATTCAAGATCGTACAAATGTTCTACCGGCATAGTATATCCATCTGGCTTTGGATCTGGTATATCTTTAATATTGACAATTTTATTATCAATACAAGTTCGTTCCCAAAATTTAAGTAATAATTCTTCATGGCCATTTTCAACAATATAAAAAAGAGTTTTTGTAGCTGATAATCTTTCCAAAGCACATAAAGTTCTAGCTATCGGATTCCTAATCAATGTTCTTATATGAAATTGTAATGCCACAGAAAACGATGCGTATGGATATAAAAGCTGTTTGTTTGACGCAACTTTAAATTGCCAACCAGCTGTAGAATTTTCTTCGATCCATTCTAAAGTTCTTTCTTTCAAGCATTTAATCAAGGTTGGACATTCTAATATTTTTTCGCTTAACATCCTTTTTTTAAAAAATAAAAAATTTCAATTCAATAATAGCTTTCAAAAAGGATAAAAAAAGTTTAAGCGAAGAGAAATCTTACTTTATATGGTTGACAAACTTAATATTTGATGGATATTTCATACACAATAAACACCATAATAACTCCTCTTGTAAAATTTTTTTGAATGGATAAGAAGAATTTATAATATCAGATAATGTCTTAT